AAAGTATCATATCATCTGCAAAGAGTGAGAGTTTGACTTCTTCTTTGCCGATTTGGATGCCTTTTATTTCTTTTTGTTGTCCGATTGCTGTGGCTGTCATATTCTTTTTTAAAAGATTTTATTTATTTATTTGACAGAGAGAGACACAGCGAGATAGGGAACACAAACTGGGAGTGGGAGAGAGAGCCCAGTGTGGGGCTCGATCTCAGGACCCCAGGATCATGACCTGAGCCAGAGGCAGACTCTTAATGACTGAGCCACCCAGGCACCCCATGTCATATTTTAATAAATATTAGTCTTTACAATTTGTTTTAAAAGTGATGCTTAGTCATTTTACCAATATTAGAAAAGAGTTAAGTATTTAAGAAAGAAGAACTACAAATTACCTACGGGTCAGCCAAAATGCTGTGTGTTTTTTGTACCTTTTCTGTGTGTGGGTGTGCTCTTTAGTCTAACAATACATTCTATACATTCTATATGATAACCTATTTTCTTGATAACTTATGGGAAGATGTTCATAATATATTAATTTTCAAATCACATACAGTAATTGCATAATATTTCATTGAGTGCATTAGCAAAATCTGATCTTCTACTGGGTGTATTTTTCTCTTTCATAAATTAGGCTGCATGAATTTCCTTGAGATCTGTGTGTATCTGTAATTATTTCCCAGGGATAACTTAATTATAGAAGTTGAATTGCTAGATCAAATTACTGTGGGCATTAAGGTTTTTTGATAATTGTTACTAAATTATTTTCTAGAAGGTTTACCAATTTTCATTTTTAAACATATAATAATGATATTACTTTGGTATATATTTCAAGATCACAGATTTTAAATAGGTCACTGGTAACAAATATGGTCACCTCTTAAAGCTATTTGATTTATTAAAGCAAGACTTATTTTCCCCTAAGTGATTTAAACTTTGTAATATGATACAGACCATGGTTCTTGACCAAGATCAATCTGTGGAGCTTTAAAAAAATATTGTTGCTTGGCCCTGTTCCATATTTGCTGAATCAGAACCTTTGGGGAGGGGCCGTGCATCTGTATTGTATTAAAAGACCATGCTCAATCTAACTTACGCTTACATTATTCTATTCCGGGTGTAGCTCTGTTTCTCGTGAAATAAGGTTGCAAGAAAGTGTTGTCACCAATGGAAGGGTCTTATTTGAGCACAAATCCATGTCTGAGAGAAGGACTGGTTTAGTGTTGGGCGGACAAGTTGTCTGTTTTATCATTTTTGTGGGGTTTCATAGTACAACAAAATGGTGTTGTGGTGAAACTATTGGCTTAATTTTACACATATTTTGCAGGTCTGCAAAAGATGATTTTACATCTATTATTGGGAAATGTCAAGGTAAGAGTTTCCAAAATACTGAAAAAATGAAAATTTCAAATTTAGAACAGTTAACAGTATTCCTTAAATGTCAGAGTAGATACTAAATATTAATGACTGTTGTGACTCTATTAAACTAATTTTAAAACTTCTTAACTGATTTCTCTTACTGCCTTAAATGTTTTGCTTTGTCCATTTTGGACATTTTAAAGAGATTTGCAATTGCCTGGGTGGCTCAGTCGGTTAAGCGTCTGCCTTCGGCTCAGGTCATGATCCCAGGGTCCTGCGACCTAGCCCCGCAACGGGCTCCCTGCTCTGAGGGAAGCCTGCTTCTCCCTCTGCCCCTCCCCCTGCTCGTCACGCTCTCTCTCTCCCTCTCTCTTTCAAATAAATAAAATATTTTAAATAAAAGTCTATGCCAGTTTGGGGATAAAGTATTTGTCTGTAGTCTTTTTTTCCCCCTAATGTAATCTCTCCACTCATTGTGGGGCTTGAGCTCCTGACCCCGAGATGGAGTCACATACTCTACTGACTGAGCCAGCCAGGCGCCTCTAGGCTTTTATTTTGAATTCAATGCAAAAAAAAAATATAAATATATATAAGTCAAGAGTTGATTAGATACAAACTAGTAAAAAAAAATCTGGGATTTGATCATTCTTCTGCTGATGTATTCAGCACAAATTACTATCATTTATGTATATGAATCATTTTGCAGTGTACTAGGGATATGACTGAGCAAAAAGGCACGGTCCCCTACCTCTTGAGGTATATAGACACTCAAAATATAATTACTAACTTTGACAAATCTGATGAAGGAAAAATACAGAGCAGAGTGAGCATTTAACCAGGGCTGTGAGATGAGATTGTTGAGAAAAAATGACTTTGGAAAGCAGCCTAAGGGATGAGTAGAAGTTAGGAGAAGCTGGGGGCGTGTTTCTGTCTTCAGGAGCAGGTATGAAAAGGCAGAGGGAACCTTACAGGAAGAAAATAATTAGGAGGGTGCTGTTAGGTAAACGCAACTATTCTCTGTGTTTTAGTCAGGGACCTGCAGTTCCATCTGTCTGACCATGGGTCAGTTTAACAGTGTCATAGTTGTAGGAGTCCTAACGATGGTAATCATGGTTGTTGTGATGATGACAAACATTTATAGTGACCTTACTGTGTGCCAGACACTGTATTTAGGGCCTTATATGCATTTTTCTCATTTAATTGGAAGAACATAGTATACGTATTTTATCTCCAGGTGGCATTAGGGTAAGATGATAAATCCTTGACAGTGAAAGAGCGAGGAGAAATTTTGTTTTTCGATAATTCTGAAATCTACAAAATGATGGTAATACAGAGGATTTCTCCCAGCTTCCCTGTGGCAATGCTGGTCTTAAACTCCTTGTCAGATGTGCCATTAGTGAATGGCTCAGGGCGAGTTTCCTTCTCATCTTTCTCATTTTTGGCCATCCACATATGCTCAGAAAAATAAAGATCAGATGTTTGAAAGATGTTTTCAGTTTTCTTATGAATGGTGATATTCTTTTTTTTTTTTATTGTGTTATGTTAATCACCGTACATTACATCATTAGTTTTTGATGTAGAGTTCCATGATTCATTGTTTGCTTATAACACCCAGTGCTCCATGCAGTACGTGCCCTCCTTAATACCCATCACCAGGCTAATCCATCCCCCACCCCGAGAATCCTCAGTTTGTTTCTCAGAGTCCATAGTCTCATGGTTCGTCTCCCACTCTGATTTCCCCCCTTCATTTTTCCCTTCCTGCTATCTTCTTTTTTTTCTTTAAACATATAATGTATTATTTGTTTCAGAGGTACAGGTCTGTGATTCATCAGTCTTACACAATTCACAGCGCTCACCATAGCACATACCCTCCCTAACGTCTACCCCCCAGCCACCCCATCCCTCCCACCCCTCACCACTCCAGCAAATCTGTTTGTTTCCTGAGATTAAGAATTCCTCATATCAGTGAGGTCATATGATACATGTCTTTCTCTGATTGACTTATTTCACTCAGCATAATACCTTTGTTTGATAAATATTAAGCTGCTGCTGTGTGCCAGGCACTCTGCTAGGCGCTGTGTATAAAATGAGGAGTAAGCTGTAGGCGACATTGACTGAAGGGTTTGCAGTCTGTCAGGGAAGAGAGAAATACTTCATTGCAGCGGTACTGACACAATGGGGAAGCATCGCTTTTGCTTAACTCAAGCCCTGGGAACCTGTGAAAATGTCTCTCGCCCATCACAGCCCTAGCTCAGGCTTTTAACATTTTCACTAAGTTTTATTTATTTGTTTATTTATTTTTTACAACTGTTTCCTGACCAGGTTTTCTTCTCTTTGCCTCTCACTTCACACTGCTTGCCAAATTGATCACTGTTAAATGGGAATTCCATCCAGTTTCCCTTCAGATCTGGCTCCCTGCTTTCTAGAAATGTGACCTTGGACAGGTTACCTTACTGAGACTCAAGTACCTGTAATGACATAGTGTTACAGACTGAGTTTTGGAAAAAAATAATAAGCGCTAGTATATGTAAAGCTCTTAGGATAATGTCTGACACATACTAAGTACTTAGGAGACCTTAAGCTTTTATTATCACCACCACTACTAGTCCTGTTATTCTGCCTAGAATCTTTCAGTTGTTCCCCATTGACTGTAGAATATTCCTTTTTTCTGACCTTTCAGTCAGTCTGTCCCTTAAGATCCCCCTGCCATACAGCCTGTGTTCTAGTACAAAGCAGCTTGCGCTTTTCTAGCCCCATCATGCTTTTCATGCCTTGGTACAGATAGTTCCTTTTGCCTAGAGGCTCCACTTTTATATTTAATTAATGAGTCTTACATATTTTAGTTCAGGCATCCGCTCTCTTGGGAAACCTTCCCTTCCTGCCCGCTTCCTCATCATTTGTACATCTTTCTTAATGTTTTCCTAGGACTTATTTGTACATGTATCACTACACTCAGGCTAATTGACTTTTTTCCCCCTTAGTTGTTGATGTGCTTATCTGATTCCCCATTAGACTGTAAATTCTTGGAAGGCAGGGCTCCCATCTTACTCAACTTTTTTTGTTCCTGATGCCCAGCGTGCTGTCTCACATAGTAGGCACACAATTCTTGATCCTATCAAGTTTTTATGAGTTTATGTATGACTATGTATGTATAACTCCTGTGAGTTAATTTTAGAAATTCATGACTGTATGTATATTTATAATTTGTATATACACATATAAAAATTATGGATAATTGTCATGATATTCATGGTTTTTATTCCCTATGCACACAAATGTGTATACATACCACAAAGCATAGATAAGGGGCTCTATTTGCTTAGTATCCTGTTGAGAATACTAGAAGAGTAGTGTTTGTGCAAGCTCTAGCATTTTTGAATTTGCTTTCAATTATCTCCTCACCAGTGCTTACTAAAGTAGACCAGACCTGGCTTACGTAATGTGTAAGGATCAAGAAGTTCCCAGAAGAATAATTTAGGATGGATATTCAATTACCTATTTCCCAGTGCTGTGCTTCTGTTGGGTGAAGGCTTGGGGAGCCTGCGGTGAGCTGCTGAGAAGCATGTTCGGAACGTTGGAGTGATTCAGACATGCAAGGGCCCTTTTGAGTTGTGACTTTAGACACTCACTCTTAGCCAGTATATAAACTGAGAAATCTGCAAGTTAACATGAAAATGGGAAGCTTAATCTTCTGTATTTCACACAAATTATTTGTTAGAGGTTTTAGTGTGTACAGTTAATGTGGCAGCATGGATGGGATAATAATGCTTTGAGAACTAATGTTTTATTTTGTTGGCTTCCAATTGTGTGCATTTATGACCTTAATGCTGCATTAATGGCTTCTTTCCATTTCATATAATTTGAGGTAATGATCATTTGCTTATTATCTGACTCATCTTTATGGGAATAACTCTCATATGCCAAATATTTCCTGCGTATGCTTGAAGAAAAGGAGCCAGATTGTTGTTAATGCATTTTTGAAACTATATATTGCAGAGTCTGCAAACTAAAATAGGAACTATTTAGTTCCACTTTGATATTTTTCAATTATTGCTTTATAAAGTATATATGCCATTTGAGAATGTTTTAAATAGGATTGCATCTTGTTTTGGCTCTGTTTGCCAGGCCATAAATATTAGTCTTCTCTTTCTGCCTTGAATAGTGACCTAAATAATAGCATATGGAATTAGAAGTTTAGATTATTTATTTATTTATTTTTAGAGCTGTACTATGTTGAGATTTTTCTCATATTTCTGATTTTGAGATCCCATAAGCCAGAGCTTCCAGTGCTAAGGAGCAGCTTGCTTATTGTAATTTTGCTGAGATCCCATCAGCCCACTGGTGGCCTGGTGGGCCCCATGACAACCCAAGCCGAGATACTGTTTTTTGCATTTTTGTATTTCTAAAATTGGCTTGATATTTTGTAGTTTCTATCATATTTTTATTGAGATTCTCTATCTATTCCTTATGTTTATGTTTTCCTTTGAATTCCAAATATGCTTTAATAGTTGTTTTGAAGCCCTTGTCTGCCTATTCCTTAATTTGTATATTTCTGGGTCGGTTGGTTGAGTTTTCCCATGTTTATGGATATTTTCCTGCCTCATATGTCTAACACTTTATTTTTTAATTTTATTTTTAAAATTTGTGATCAATTGATTTTATTTTTAAAAATTATTTAAATTTAATTGCATTAACATGTACCATATTATTAGTTA